GCCACCATCCCACTGCACGACCACCCGGACATGCACGGAGTTCTAAAAGTCATGTACGGTAAGGTTCGGATCAGCTGCTTCGACCGGTTGGACAGAAATACTGGGACCGCGGGGTCCATGCGGCGTTCCGTGCTCCGCTCCTGTGCGGAGTACACGGAGGATAGTGACGCGTGCGTCCTGGCCCCGGACAGGGACAACCTGCACCAGATCGATGCAGTGGATGGACCTACGGCTTTCATGGACATTCTGGCTCCACCGTACGACCCGGACCAGGGACGGGACTGTCATTACTACCGGGTTCTAGCGGATGGTGGGGCAGCGGGACCGGGACCGGGACTGGGACTAAAGCAGCAGCAGGAGGTCTGGCTCATGGAAATATCGCAGCCACCAAACTTCTGGTGCGGAGGAGAGCCATACCCGGGACCGGAGGTCCACCTTTGAACATGGGGATGCTGTAGACAGAACTGAACCGAACAGTGACCATGAATGTAAATGTCGCCTGATCTCGTTACTGGGTGTAGTCAGCACATGCACAGGTGCACAGAAAGACTTACTGTTTCGGTTTGCAGGTGTCCTAACAATAATGATGCGATTCACTCTGGTTAATGATTAATGATTGTGACTGTAAAAAGACACTGTTACTTCAAGAAGAAAATTTAGTCACATTTTCTTATCGATGTATTTTTCTAATGAATCAGTGTCGGTCAAACCTTACAGGGAACGGACAGCGACGTGGGATCCTGGAACACTGAGAAAAAAGTTAAGGGTGACAGGTTTAAAAATTGTTTCCGGTGATCAAATTAACACATTTGGCAGCTGTTATTGCCAAGAGACAGTCTTCGGTCTAAGCACTAGGGGTCAGTATACCTCAACAACACACGTTTCAAAACAAATGGAACGTTCCTTTAATTTGAAGGTTTTAGACTGAATTTGCTGACGCCCTGGTTTCGATTTGTGCACAATTGATTAGACGTGGCATTGAAAATGTGCTAATACTTTGTAAAAGTTTGATTTGATGATGGTAATTCATATTTACCCGAGGTTTTTCTTATTGTATTTAACACGACTCATATGCTGCGTAGCTGTAAAATGACTTGATTACAAAAAATGTCAGTTGGGTCTAACACAGTGGGGATTTCTCAGCCTCCCCTCTTGACGGCTCCAGAAATGAAACTGTGTGTATTGTCTTCCTTTTTAGGGTTTTGTTGCATTTGTGTGAGGAAAAGAAAATCCTTTAAAACCATTGAAGTTTTAAAGGTGTATGATTTTCTGTCACAGACTGAAAGTCAGCTAAAACAAGAGAAACTGTGAATGGACAGAATAAAAAGTGTCACCCACAGAGGCACTAGTTATATTCATCTAACACCAGGTGGCGAAACTGCAAGTTTTAAAGTTAGTCTGTTGTAAAGCTGTTTTTTTTATTGTCATTTAACACCTAGAACAATGAAAAAGGGAATTTACTCTCTGTAACTCCACACCTAAGGTTAGGGGTCAGCTAACTAATATTCCAAGAACAGTTCTAAGCTTAGTCCACTTTTGTAGTTATCACTAAGATACATAATATCCTTGAGCCAATGCTGGGCCAACTGACGAACTCTGTCTTTGTTCCTTCACCTTTTATAGGAGTACAGAGTGTTTCTCATATAAGGTTTGCAACTGAAATAAAAATCATTTGGTTTTCCTGTGATATTTATTCTATATATTTCTTTCACTTAAACTTTTATACATTTCAGGAAAATCAGAATATATTTATTTAAGCGTTTTTTTTTTTCGTTATTGCGTTATTTCCAAAACTAAACATTTAACGTGTCTGTCCCTGCCCCCTGTCCGTATCTGGTGGTACTGCAACCTCGCAAAACGTGCTAAAGAAAATTATTTGTCCAACATTCTGGAGAAATTAATGTTTTTTGAGCCCCTCAACTGTGTTATGTGCATAATATTCAAATTCTGTTTGATATTTTGGTTGATTTTCATTCATTTAACATACATGTAACTCTTTGGCATAATACAAAGATGCAAGTCGACGTCAGCATTTGGCACGTTTTATTGTAAAACAAAAATGAATAAAAATAAAGTTATCACAAATAACTGTTAAATACACTAAAAAATAAAGTTTCACTAAGAAATGTTAGAACCTGATGGATTAAAAAAAAAACCCTGAGACACTGAATCCAGTTTTAAAAAAATCGGAGCATAACAAATATCACAGATTTCTCCTGAGTGTGGGTGAGAATTGAGTCGTTACCCAGCAGGGGGCACTCACAGCACATTTATAAATGACTCTTCTATAAATTATATTGAGACTAAAATACCCTGAACTGTCGTCGACCGTTACCGTCTGCAGTCAAAGCACTGGTTTTGAGTTTCGTCGTGTTATTTTTTCCCGCTAAGGTTAAAAGTAACCACTTGATGTTTGTTTACATTCAGTCATCGTGGTGAGGGTGCAGTTGTGTTTTTACGCGCTCCCTCACGAGGCAGTGGTCTTCTTCTCCCTCTGCCGCTGGTGGATCTTCATGTGGCGCCGCCTCTCGTCGCTGCGGGCAAACTTCCTGCCACATTGTTCACAGGAGAAAGGTTTTTCACCTGTGTGTGTGCGGATGTGCGTGGTCAGGTGATCGCTGCGGCTAAAGTTCCTCATGCAGATGCGACACTGGAATGGTTTGTGGCCTGTGTGGATCCGCAGGTGACGACTCAGCTCGTCGGAGCGGGAGAACCGACGGTCGCAGCTCTCGGCCGGACACGGGTATGGGCGCTGATGCACCGGTGTCTTGCTCGGTCGATTCGGGTACTTCCTGGGTCTGAGGATAGGCCGCAGGGGCAGGTTCTGGTGGGCTGGGAATGCAGCTGCCATAGGGGCCTCCGGGGCCCCCAAAGTGTAATTCCTAATAGTGTTGAGAGGTGTGAGAGGTGGAGCCATGCGCAGAGAGTCCAGAGGGTGTGGGAGGGGCTTGTCTCTCTGGCAGTTTTGAGGGTAATACCCTCCGTACTCGGGCATAATGGACAGCAGTGCAGCGCCCTCTACGGACGGTTTGGGTGCAGGGTTGTAGGTCGGTGGTGGGTGAAAGGAGACAGCACAGGTGGATGTGCTTAGGAAGCCCCCTGCTGGCTGCTCATGGTACATGTCCCCGCCACAGGAGTAGGCAGGGACAGGTGGAGGAGGAGGCGGGCCATACATGTGATTGATGTCATGACTGTGTGCCATGGCCCGGCCCGCTGCTTCTGCTTCTCCTTCTCCTTGTCCTGGAGTGCGAATCCCAATAAAAGCTGCTGCTGACACAGTGATATCAGCGTTGACCAGGCTGATGATGTCACTGGGTGCACTGACTTCTCCCACGCCACACTCCACGGAGAAATTTCCTGTGAAGGAGTGAAGTCTTGCAACAGACGTGGACAAGTAAGGGTCGGTTGTTTGGTCTGACAGGAGGTCACCTGAAACATCGGAGGAGGAAGTGAAAAAAAAAAATCATGAATTTATAATTTACATTTTCATTAATAGGTACATATTAAATTCGGAAACTCAGCTAACAGCTATAGCATTCCCCACAAATTAACTTTCAGAAAGTTAAAACAGTTATCTGACTCCGCCCACATCTCTACACCTTCATTCAAAGAACAGAGGAAGTTTGTGTCAGGGAGTCCACTTCTATTCTGTCTGTCTGAAAACATCCTTACCAACTTCATCCTCATCCTGTCTCCCACTATCCTCCTCTTCCTCCTCTTTAAAAACATTGATAGCGAGCGTGCGAATGCTCTGGACCCTCCTCAGCTTCGGGCTGATCATGATTCTCCTTCATCTCTGTTCTGATCTGCTGCGTCTTTTTATCTGGGATCTCCTCTTCCTCTAACATCCTCCACCAAATATGGATGCCTCCAAGAATAGTTCTGGTACGTAGAACACAGAACCGTTTCACTCACACTCAGAATATAATTTAAACCTGACGCTCGCTCAGTGACGAACATGTGCTGTTATTTTCCCGCCTCCTGCTGAGACACACTCGCTGGCATACACACACACTTGCTGCAGCTTTTTCAAACGCCCACTGCTGCAAAAATGTTGGTGTGCATTGTTGGTGTGTAACAAACCGCCCACTCTGGGACAGATGGACGTCTGTCTGTGAGTGTGTGTGTGTGTGTGATACAAACACACACAGGAAACTAGAGTCAGGGATTATACTGCCATGACGGTCCCAGTAACTGATGATGCAGAATAACAGTATTAATAAAATATGTTAAAATGTAGCAAAATGTTGCCAAATTTACTACAAATATTGTATTTTTGCGATAATTAAACTTTTGTATGATGTTTGATAGGAAACAGTTTAATAGGTAGTAGTTTGTTTATAATTCTAAACATCCCTCAATATAGAATATTTATTTAGAGTCTCACCAGTATCTGATCTTTGTTCAGTAATTGTCCTTAAAATACAATCATTTTGGGCTGCTTCAACAGACAATCCTCCACCCAAACTCCAGAGAATAAGCCATGAACAATCCAAATCAACCAGAAGTCAGTTGAGCTGAAGATTTGAAAGATAATTCATGCCATGGTTGCTAACGTCTTTAGCATTGAGTTAGCGGTTAATGCTAACTGTCAAGTCGGCTCCCTATGACACAGTTAATATCAAAACTTTTGCCCTATATGGAACTGGATTGGCACCGTAATTCTAAACAATGTTTGTTTTTCTACATTTAACGTAAAAGTTTGGTCATATTTATATTTATATAGTAAATAGAGAGCCATCGTGAATACATGCAGAGCACACAGCTAAACGGGTTTTGGAGGCAGTACTACTGGCTTTGAAATCAGTAACAATCACAAGATGGCACACACACACACACACACACACACAGAGGTGCTGCCCTTCGCCTACGTTCCTCCCACGCTGCTCCTTAGACCCCTCCAGACTCCTCCTCCTCCTCCTGGAGGTTTAAAGCGTTTCCTGGTTTCCTGGCTTTTGCAGGTTTTATGTTCTGGACTCTGGTCGTCCGTTGGGGGTCTGGCGGCGCGACTCAAGCCCACCACACCGATTAATCATCTGTCAGTGTGTTTTTATTGGTGTAAATGGATCTTTGTGTGAACTGGACTCATCTGTTCAGCAGCTGAAAAACAACGCGCGGCCGAAGTTTGGTTTCGACTGTGTTTGTGCACTACTGTGCGCACAATGTCTGCAAAAAGTGCAATGCTGTGACCTTTGACCTCTCACAACATCTTCACACCAGCAGCAGATACGAAATCAAGAGCCATTTTTTACTTCCTTTACCTTCTTCAAAGGCTGAAACAGGAAATACACTGAGAAAACAATCTACGTTTGGTCGATTTCAAATTTTTGAGTTTGAATATTCTTTAAACTATTCTTGAAATTCTACCCATAGATGTTAAGGGAAATACTGTATAAAGGTATAAGTTAATTATTATTTAAGCATATGGTTATTGATTGATCCATTGTTGTTGTTGTTTTTTCCATGTCATAATAAAGATTTATGGTTTAATGGCAGGTAAAATATGCAAAATATAATCCAACAGCTGTGACTTGAAGCCAAAGAAACTCAATTCTGGACGACTCGTTTAAACCAATCAATGAAGCAGGAGCAGCTGTTCTAAAAGAAGATTCTGACGTGAAGGAATCACATGATTTATGAGGTTTATTTAATGTGGTTCAGGCAGATCCTGAGAAACGGTTTCGGCAAAGGAGATTTTGATTTTTTCTTCTGTGAACATTTAAAACCCATGAAATGACAAACAAACATTAAATCTACATTCTGTTAAATAAAGGGTTAAACAAGATTTCTGAAATAAATTCAAATTGTGAATAACCTTAATTCAAAGTAATTTTATATATTTATATTTTGTAAAAATAAAATTTTTAGATATTTAGTGATTTTAGTTCACCGGGACTTAACGGCTGTTGGTACAGTGCTGCCTCCTGTGGCCAGGTTTTGTAACTGAGTTTAATATTAACAAAGGATTTCAAACATTTAGTTTACCCGATTTATTAAGTTTGCCAAAAGGTAAGAGTTTTTTGTTAAACACATCATATGTGCTCATAAATGCCCGTAAATTTAAACATTTGTTTAACTCTTCGTAAAGAAGGACATTAAAAAAAAGCACTAATTCAGGTTTAATATATTTTCTTCTGATAATTTTATGAAACTTTCCCATTTATATATCTGGTGATTTACCAAGGAAACAGCTTAGCATCATGTGCTTAGCTTAGCTTCATTTGAATCAATAATTAACAGATTCTGTGCGTTGCATTAATGAAGTGACGCATTCTTTAACCTCAACAATTCACCAAAGGTAAACTATATATTTAAAGAGTTGATATCTGCACGTAGAGCTCAGTTTTAAGGCCCGGCTCTGCCACAGGAGATAATTTAATCATCAGAGTCTTTGTGAAGCAGATCACGGTCGCACAAAGCTGCAGGAGAAAACAGAACGTCCGCTACGAAAAATAAGGGACCATGTGAAAAACTTCTTCAAATATTTATTTATTTATTTATTTGTCAATCACTTCTTCAAATATTTATTTATTTATTTTATTTGTTTGAAAACTTTTAAGCCTGAATGTGTTAAGATTGACTGGTGTTTCACCAATATTCAGGAAACAACCAAAAAGTTATTGATTTTCTACGTGTTGTTGATTTTAAAATTTTGTTTTGGGTGTTCTCATTCCTTTATCTTTATTAACTAATCTGTTAACCTTTTTTTTCAAATATTTATCAATTGTTTTTGATAATGTAAGAATTTAATTCATTTTCTCACAGTACTTACTACTTACAGTACTAGTACTAATACCTATAATGATGTTTCTTCAGAAAACCTAAGTGCTTTTAAATTGTTAGATTTAACGTTAAGTTGGTTGGTTCTACAGATTAGAACCAACACTGATTATTTAGAGTAAATGTCAGTGAGTAAAAAAAACAGTTTCTTCACAGAAAACGGACAAAGATCAAACTCACTCTGAATTTGGAGAGGAGGCAAAATTCATCCTTATCCCACAAAGACATGGACGTCCAGCAGGCCTCGTCGTCCTGGTCCTCCTGGTCGTCCTTGTCCCTCTTGTCCTCCTGCTCCTGCTCTTCCTCCTCTTTCCTCCTTGTCTGAGACCAGGCTGTGTTTGCATGAGCGAGTGCTCGGTTACCCGCTGTTCTGGGTTTCTGCCGTGGCCCTGGATGGGGTCACCACCACCATCTTCATCATCTTCAACATCGTCATCATCACCCACGGTCAGAGTGGGCAGACGGGGACAAAGACAGAGAGAGAGAGTGGGCAGAAACAAAGCCAGAGTGGGCCGCTCACGTTGTTTCCTCCTTCACAGTTAAAATTGTGATGGTAATGAAGTGAACTTTTCTGTGACTGGACGTGGGAGGACGGAGGTGTTCGGGTCACACAGACACCCAGCGCTGCCTCAGCCTGGAGCAAGGCAGCTGCTGCTCTGGACACCACCACCATGACGATGATGAGGAGAAAAATAATCTTGGAGCCTGAAGCTCTGAGCTGGACATTTGATCAAAAGTCCTTTTCATATAGAGTTTAAACTCTCTTGAATGCAATAAATAAATAAAAATTAAGACACAAAAAGAGCAGCTCTAGATGAAAGCAGACTGAGGAAGGAGTTTGCATTCTATTTGGCCCATGGAGGCCACCATAGGTCCCTGGTGTGCATGGAAAGAGGCTAACTAAATCTTTAAAAAATCTCTTCACAGCCTTCTGGCTCATTATTAGACTGACTCTCTACCAAACACTCCCTCGTCTCCCACTCCAAAAAAACACAGCAGAAGGTGTTGATTCATTGATGCTCCACTTAATGTGTTCAAATGTATTTCTGTGACACTCTTTAGTTTATTTTTTCCTCCACTCTTATTTGCACCATTGGCAAAAAAAAGGCATTGACCACTAGAGGCAGCAGTATACCAGCAGCATCTGTGTCCATGTAAACAAGAATGAAAGATTTCTTCTTCTTCTACTTTGCTGAGCTTCAGTGATTGTTACCAGAAGTCAGTCCAACTGATGATGATATTGTAGTCTGGTTGTGCAATCATTTCCAAGTGTTTTTGAGATCTTGCCTCAAAAGTTCCTCCTCTTCTGATGTTGGCACCATTTTAAAGCAAAACTAGATTAGAAAAGTTGAAAAACATTCCCAACATTCCCATTTTATGGAGAAGAAGTTGAATCTGTGCGTGTCTGTGTTAAAGGCGTTGCCAGAGCTGAAAAGACAACCCCCTCTGTCCACCTCAGGGGGCAGCGTGGGTGGACAGTCCAGATGGATTGCTGCGCCACGTAGGGTAATGCTGACACAGACAATAAGATTCATGATATAATTAATATAACTACAAATAAATGTTAGTAAACAACTCAATTCTAAGGTCTTCTATTCATAATCTGCCTTCATTTGATTGACATCTGTGTATATGTGGCCTAAATATGGACGAGATTACACAGAAAGTTGTTCATAAAAGTCCCTAAATTTAGAAATCATTTTGTAAATACATATCAACCTTTAATACACATATTAATGAAATGTTCACTGCAACATTTATAATAAATAAGACATATAAAATGAAATATATCAAGAATAAATCCAAATAAACAGATCCTCATAATAAATACTAGTGGCAGAATTATACTGCAAAGTAAAAAGCAAATATAAAATCCAACATAAAAATGTCATCTTTACAAACTCATCATGCAAAAGCATTTATTGGAAATTAGGAGGTCCACACTGATTTATTTTCACCTGAATTTCCACATTTAATTCGATTTTTAATTTGGATACATATCATCATTAAGGTAAACAAAATGTTAAACAACAATGAAATAAGTACATAAATTTGGTCATATTATTTACACTACTTCTATTAGTTAATTTTATTTAGTAAATTATAAAAAATTATATTAGCTTCATATATATTTCCTCTAAAAAGAGAAAATGTTTAATTAAAGATAAAAATTTTCGTCATTTAAATAGGTTCAGGTAAAATAACTTTATTAGAAAACTTAAAAAAATTTTCCCCGTACATTGTCGCCACCTGCTGGGACCTAAAAAAATATTTCCGAATTGTTTTTAACTTCCCACAGTGCTCCACTCCTATTCACACCACGTGACTATCGTCCGCCATTTTTGGTCCGGGGTTTGAAACGTTACCGCGTCTGAAAGTGATTGTGTTGAACTCGTGTCAACGTCTAAAGTGAGTTCACCTGGTATTGACACAATTCCCCAACGGTTGGAGACATGATGAGACACGGTGAACTAAAATGAAGCACGAGAACTAGTCGAATTCGACAAGAATATGAGGTATTTACTGTGACCGTCATTTGTACTGTTTCAGCGACAAACAGGAGTTTAAGCTTCATATCTTAAAATAAAAAAATAATTTTACATTTATACCAAATAACTAGATTTATTAATACGTACAAGGGTACGTCAGTTTATCATTAAACACACGTTTGTTTAATTTACCTAATCTGAAATCACAGCAAACCACGAAATATAGTCAAAACTTGAATACAAACGTGTTTAAATCCTTATAGATTTACAAAAGTGTTTGTATGAAGTCATTTTGTCCCAGAGAATTACTGTAAAAAAGGTGAAAATAATATTCAGGTCTAACTCTTTTCAACATTTTTTGTCCAAGGTCTTGAATCGTACAAAAATCCCCATGACCAGGACTTGGATGAAGATGTGTCTGCACACTCTGCTGTTCTGATGAAGAGTTCTTCTTCACCCTCCTCTTCACTACTGGAGAGATGCGGTTTGAAAAGGTAAGGATTATTTTTCATGCCTCTCTTCAAATGTTAAGTGAAGTGTTGAAGCGTCAGAAACTTCTGTTGGCTGCCTGAAATTAAAAGATGATGTTATGGCTTAAACAGTAGTCTAGAACAGGCATGAGCAAACTACAGCCCGGGGGCCAGATGCGGCCCACTTGGCTTTTTAATCGGGACTGCCAAACTTGTCCAAATATATTATTGATTGATTAATAATTTATATTCTCATTATATTTCTGCCTTTTCCTTTGCAATGTCTGCATTTCCCCATTAAATGGTGTAGAAAAGGCTAATAGCATTTTAACATTTAGCCTTTTATGCTTTTATGTCATTTACCTTAGTTCACGTGAATGCTTCATCTATCTGCTCCTAACTCGCCCCCCCCACCCTGTAAATTTTTGGACCCATTTTGGCCCACGAGTCAAAAAGTTTGCCCACGCCTGGTCTAGAACATTCCCGTTGGAACAGAATGGTTGAACAGTTTTGTAACCACAGCATGCAGTGATCCACAGAGTTTACATCTGCCGTTGTACAAATATAAACAAATGCAAATTGCGTTGAAGAGCAATAATGTCCATAATAACATGACATAATCAATGTAATGTCCCGACTGGAAATTTGATTTCATTATTACCTTGTGCTTGATATAACATGCTGCTGGGACGAATTTCTGGCAGACAGGTCGAACATTTGTGAAGCTATAAACAAGACAATAACAGCAGTGGTGATTGTTTAACCTCCTTTATTGAGAAGCAGCTGCCACAATTATGTCTGACTCCGAACCTCTGAGAAAAGTAAAGGTACAAATATATATATCTCAGTACAGATATGTAATATGTAACAGTAATATGTCAAAAGCATACACTGTAGTTAGATTGGTCTGCATCAGTAATCCTTGAGAAAAAAATCTTCGTTTCCCTGTGACATGAGAACTTAGATCACTGCATTTTAGCAGTAATTTAGTAGTACATAAGAGGGAGACACTCACAATTGCTTCAGGTTGCCATAATTAAAACCCGTAGTGGCGGCTCATTACTTAACTGAGCCAGCAGAGGGCAGCATTTCTCCGGACAAATGTAGTTTAAATTTCTTTGGGGTTGTTTTGTTGTTTTTTAATCTTCAAAAAAGGAGAAACAGTTTGGATTAAGATCTATGAAGACAGAGCGCCCTCTACAGTTATAAAATCACAAAGCGCTCCACACACTGTAAAAATGATTGTCATGTAATCTATTGTAATACTATATTATAGTACACTATACAGTATTAAACTGTACTATACTTTATATTACGATACTGTACTTCACTACTCTTGACAATACTACATTGTTCTGTAGTATACAGGGATCTTGTATACTTTACCACACATACACTACTGTGCATACTATACTATACTGTACTATACTATGCTTTTAAATTCAGCATTAAGGCATATTTATTTCTGTGGATTTGTTTGTTTTTATGTTTTATACTATTGGACTATTCTGAATGAGAAAATATTATTTTGGTGTGTAGCTACTTGGCAAACTATACGTAAGAGCAATTGTTTTTAAATAAGGACATGGACAATTGATCAGAGGCTTAATGTCTGCCATTAATTGAATAATAGTAGAATGGGGATGGTAGGAAAATGGAGCTGTCACCCCCTGAGAGTGGTCTGTGTGTCCCAGAGGTCTTATCGTTTGCTCCCTTTGTCCCCTCTTACTGCTGTCAGACAGTCAGATACGAACAGGACTAATAGAGAGGCCTGTTCTGTTAAGTGATTGAGCTGTAAATACAGACTGACCTGGAGTGAGACTCCCGTCATCTGTAAACTCATCCAACACCCTGCGTCCTCTCCTTTGACATCTGAATCTTGGGACGGCATCACTGAGCATGGGCTGGAGGGAGGGAGGGAAGAGAGGGGGCCACACACAGCTCAAATTGTATTGTGTGTGTATGTGTATGTGTGTGTGTGTTGAAGCTTCAAATGACAGCCCTGAGATGATCATTACATCAACTCCACTGAGAGCAGAGTTTGTCCCAGGCCAAAATTTATTGAAATGGTCATAAAATGTGAAGACTTCAGTAAATGGGAAACGCCGATAAAACCCAGAGCGGCACAATCTACGGCCCTTTACTGGCGAGATGAGTGGCCCGGCTGTTAGACAACTCAAATCTAATTTTCTCAATAAAGCCCTGTAAGTCAACAACCCTAAAGCTCCCATCAATCATAATATAGGACAGATTCATCAGGACGGTCGTCGTTTTGGCAGCGTTCCACCGCAGGTTTAATCCAACACCGGTTTTTGTTTGACTTCAGAAAAAAGCCAAGGTGTGAGGCTTTATTCTTATTCTTCTTATTCTTTTTTTTTCAATCATTTTGTAATACAGTTTTACAACATTATTCTGCTAGTTGGTTGTTGTTTGATGTCATGTCTTTTAATCTGCTAGTTGGTTGTTGTTTGATGTCACGTTTGGTGTCAATTTTGTAAATTCTGTTCCCATTTAGAGGGAAATAGCTGGTACAACACACCGGGGAGTGACGCAGGATGTGTTGACCGTGTGTGCCGCTGGGCTGGGAGTGTAGATGACGTTTACAAAATAGATATTTTAGACCATGAAGTCTTCACAAGACATTTAGTCACATTATAAATCAAATATCCTGATTTTTTAAATAGACTTCTATTCAATTAAATGTTGAATTCTGTTACTTACCTGAAAGACACAAACAATTGTTATTTTAGTTTTATGGGCAGTGCCCCTCCCTGCCCCCCCGAACCCTCCCCAGGACAGTGGCTTGATTGCTGATGCTCCACATGAGCGGTGATGCCTGCAGAGCCAGACATCCAGGAAAGACGCTTTATGAAAACAGGAGACTCCCCCCCAACCCCCCGCCCCTTTTGGGAAGGAGAGGAGACCCAAACCGTTTTACTAGCACAGGAGGGCAATAAGGGCTAAAGAAGACAATTATAAGCCAATCATTTCTGAATCTTTGGCATTCATGGGCTGAGGGTCTGAGGGGGAAACGAGTCTGAAGGTTAGAGTAGAGGACAACTCCATAACGGCACATTCTTCTGACAAGTAGACTTTACTACAGTTGATTCAAGTGTTTAAAGAGTGAATATACAAATGTTTGATTTGACCTAATGACGTGTCCTTTATGGTGCGGGTTTGAAGTGTTCAGGTCATAAACCTGGTTGATCTGAAATTAAGAATCAAGATTCTTGATGTTCAAGCTTGAGCTGAATTAATGAACTATTTTGAATATTTAGTAGTACACTGCACATCAGGAGGATGTTGTTTTGAGTTTCCTGACTATTCTTGATAAAAAAAAAAACATTTGTGATTCTGTGTGTTTATCTTTTGATAGTTCTGTAGCTGAACAACATGAGTCCGGAGAAAATGAAAAATGTCTTTATATTCATAAACTCTAAGCAATTATTTATTATGGCTTTCAGATTATTTTTTTAAAATATTTTTCTTGACATTGTCATATATTAACAATTCCATCATTTGGATTAGTATAAAACCCAGACTTCTACCTGTTGTTATTTCTCTTTATGTTCCTGCAAACAGACAGAGAAAAAGTCTTTGTTTTTTTTTTCTTATTTGGTATTGGCATTTATTCCACACATTTATTGAGCAGGACTCTGGTATTTACAACACAACAGAATGATCTCACAGCTCCAGTGTTTGTTTTAGTCAGTGGTCTTTTGCTGTGGCTCTGGGGAATCCTGATCCTGGATCAGCAGTAATCCTCCTCTCCTCCAGGACACAGTCCAGTTATGGGAGGCTAAGGTTCTCTGCTGCTTTTAGCCCCTCTTACATTAGCAATCTGTTAGCAGTAGTCCATTGAGAGGGGGGTAACTGAACACACAAAGAAACACGCACACACACACTCACTCACACACACACGGCCGTGCGCGTGGCGCAGACCTTGTTTGACCAAAAAGAACAATTAGGGGAGAAATGAGGGAGAATCATCGGGGGAAATGGCTGATGAAGACTTTATTGATTAGAGCAGCTCCACTGATCCACCTCTCGCTGTAGCAATTACCGGCAGCCGCCCGTCGCCGCCTGTGGTGTTTTTGGCATGAGAGGTCACCATGCAAGGCCTCCGCCACAAGACCTGATGTTTAAAAACAGGAACAAAGGAAGAATTTTCAGCCGGACTGGACAACAGCGCTGGTTTGATTCTGTTGTCTCTGTTATTAATCACTAAACTGAGACGTTCCAAGTCACAAAAGAATGGACATACAGTAGTTACCCGGTTGCATCAGTGGGGCTTTGGGAGCTGGACATTTCCATTGGTGTCCACTCCTCCACTACTGCCCCAGAACATCCAAAGTCCAATCCCTGACCAAGAAACCTGGTTTCATGAAGACCAGTTTTAGTTAAAACATCTCTGGTGAACAGATGTGTGTATCAGAGTCACACTGCTTTCATTTAAACCTTAGATGATTTCACTGCAGTGATTTCATGATTTGGATGGCTGGTAAAAATTCTACATTCTACACCTGGTGCTTTCTAAAGTGGGGGACTTTACTTTATGGGGTGGCCTTTCATGACAAATTGATTAGAATTCACATATTTTCTTAGTTTTGTCCCACAGTGAGGAAAAATGCACACATTTGTGAAACTATTTTATTTGATATTTATATATAGGACAATAGGAATGTTGGGCAATTGTTTTAAAACATACAGAAAAAGCCCCCTGTATGTTTTGACATAGTGCTCGACAATGGTCCTGCCTACAAAGACACACACACACACACACACACACCAATGATTAATTCAAATCCCTGGTGAATAAAGCAATAAAGCCCTAATAGGGGCACATCTGAGTCAACGTGGCCTCGTACCTACAGCAGAGACGACTTTATTTGTTTGCTCAGCAAAGGCCTCACAGTGTTTGTATTTAAATCAGACCTTTGAGTCTCCTCTCCAACCACAGACATTTGCAGACGCTGAGTGGACAATGCTTATTTGGCTTTAATGGCATCATGAATGAGACCGGT